CTTCAGGGTCAGCCACACACTTGCAAATATCAGCAATGATATCCAGTGAGTCCCCCTCAAATGTATGCATACTGAAGATAAGCAGATCCAGCTGGCTTGCTTTCAAATAAGGTCAAGAATTCAGATTTCCTACATATCTGCAGCCTCAAGTATACAGGCACCAGGAAATAAGATGTGACGTTTTTGTGTTCTGGTATTTTACTCCGTAAAGAAGATTATATTACATTAAAATGTCCATGTTAATTAAGACAAGGGTGGGAAGAATGAAGGGAACATGATACAGTAAAGAAATCAACCTCAAGTCTGGTGACTATTTAGATGGTTATGAAGTAATCCAAGAGCATTGGCAGCCAGAAATAAGAAATCCAAGCAACAGAGTTTGAGGATTAGGATACTCATACCCCTGGAGAACTATATTCTCCCATGAAGAAGAGTAAGTAGTGAAAAGCAGGACTTCATATTATTTGAGACAACAAGCATCACTTCACCAAGGGCAAGTTTTGCATGACTAACTCCGTGTCCTTGTATAATGGAGTGACTATATCAGTGGACAAGGGAAGAGCTATGGATTTCATCTGGATTTCTGCAAGACCTTGGCAAGACATGGTCCCCACAGTATCTCTGAATTGTAGATGCTGGGATTTGACATGTGGACTCCTTGGAGGATGAAGAATTGGAAGGACAGTCACATCCAGAGGGGAGGGGTCAACTCCTCAATGTCCAGATGGAAATCAGTGACAAGTGGTGACCCGTTTGGGACCAATGTTATTGAATTAATTAACGACATAGATAAAGGGATTGAGTGCACCCTCAGCACATTTGCAGATGACATCAAGCTGAGTGGTGCAGTTGACACACCTGAAAGCCAGGATGTCATCCAGAGGGAGCTAGAAAAGCTCAAGAATTGAGCTCATGGGAATCTTGTGAGGTTCAACAACCTCTTGAGGTGCTGTGCCTGGGCCAGGGCAATGCTCAGTATCAAAACAGGCTGGGGGCTGAAGGAATTGAGACCTTTGAGAATACCAGTGGATGAAAAGCTGGAGATCAGCTGACAGTCTGTGCTCACAGACCAGAAAGCCAATCATATCCTGGGCTACATCTAAAGAAGTTTCAGCCTGAAGAAGAGAAAGGCTCCAGGGAGACCTTACTCCAGCCTTCCAGCCAGTGGGCCTGTAAGAAAGATGGGTACAGATTTTTATGAGGATTTTTATCCTTGTGACAGGACAAGGGGTAATGGTTTTAAATAAAAGAGGTTAGATTTAGACTAGACCTTACAATAATGGTGGTGAAACACTGGAACAGGTTGCCCAGAGAGGTGGTAGATGCCCCATCCCTGGGAACATTCAAGGCCAGATTACATGGGAATATCAGGAATATGAGTACATTGAATACGTGAAAAATTGAATACATACAATATAAGAGTTACTGTAGAGTCATTATATTGATTTAGTGAAGTATCTAGCTGTACTAAAACATGAAAACCAAAAAGCTGAACTGATTTGTATACTTGAAATCACTCACTGTGTCTGAGTTGGAGTGCCTATCTAAAATCAAGACCCACAGCCAATACTTTTCACAACGCATTCCATGTCAAAAGACACGGAAAATTCACCATGGCTGATAGCCCCAGGACTTGGTTTATACCACATTTTTCATGGATTAGCCAGAGACTTTAAAAAACAGTAATTGTAAAAGAAAGTTGAAAAAGAAGCAATGATCTGGGAATAAGACAAAATATTAATATTCTTAAAATAAAGCACTCAGGAATGATCAAATTAGAACTTCATGTGTCAGTATAGAAAGACCTTGCATCCACACTCAAACCTCAAATATTCCCAATAATAATAAGTAGACAACATGAAGAAAGCATGCTTGCAGTCAGATCAAAAATATGCCTGTGGAAAACTCCTGAACTGCCTCCCCTCAGATTTGCTATACTTCCATCATAAGAAGTGAGTGCTTCCTTCTAATGACCACTAAGCATATCAGAACATGAGAACTGAAAGAAATCCTCTATGTGAATCTAATGCTTACTGGCATCCTCAAGGCCTAAGGAGGACAGCCCCAAGAAGATCCAGCATACTCTCTCAGCCCGTGTCTCTTTTTTCAATACTGGTATTTATTTATTACAATATTGGCCCAATGAATAAGTCTCAAAGGATATTCAGCATGCCTGCTCAGAAGGCTCTCCCCTATATATGTACACAAGTCAGTCCTTCCCCTAACACACTTCTTTCTCTCACTACCCTCAAATTAACTCTAGTCTACCCTTTTCCATGTACTTGAAGCCATTCCTTATGATTCAAATAGATCAGTGAGAAATTTCAAGGTGTAAATATAAAAATCTCAGAGCCTACCTAAATGTACTTTGCTGGAAAAGTTTCCATATTAGCCCACAGAAATAAATGTTATGCATATGAGGTTGAAGGAAGAAAACCAAAAAGATCATCTAGGCAGAATATTGAAGGACAGATGTTGATTTAAACAGAACTTGTACATCGGAGGGAACAAAGGCCCAAGAAAGAGAGACTGAGAGACTTGAATGCAAGATAGGAAAAACAAAAAAAAACCCTTTAGATATTACTTTCTTCATAAAGAAAGCACATTTCAAATTTTTAACAGATTCACCTGCATACAAATTATCAAACTGGATCGTGACAACTTTGCAACACAGAGGACTTGGTTCAACTGAACAGAGCAGATGAGCAAAAGGTTGGCAGAAAGACCTGTACCACTTTTACCACTGCTCTGCTACTGGGTCTATTCTTTCCTAACTCCTGCTTTCTGGTCTATAAGTTGCATGTATTTTTTGACAGTAACCATCCCTGCAAACTCTAGTAGAGTCTCTTTCCTGTTATCAACTGGAGTTTAACTCTGGACTTAACTCATACACCTGCTGTTGGCAGAGCTGCCCAAGCTGGCAGCTATTGACTTGTTATTCCTCACCATCTGCCTGTACCACCACAAACTGAAGAAGCCTCTTTCAAGTGCACACCCTCAGCTATTCACAGGAGAGGCTCAGTCTCTCCTTTTCTTCCTAGCAGTTCAATTGGACCCATATTTGACCCATTTGTGGCAACCAGGCTATGGAAAACTACAACCTCAAGCCTGGCTGCTTGGCTACAAACTTCTAACAGAATGTAATGCACAGTTCAGATACACTGTTTATTCTCAGTTCAAGGTATCTGCCACATCTTCTGTGGCTGGCCCAGCTTTTACTAACGCATCATTTCATTAGGAAAAAAAAATATAAAAGAAAAGAGTGCCTTCTGGAATTTTGTTTTAACATTTTTCAATCTACATTGCTAGGGAACCTTCTGTACTCTCATCATTTTAGCACTTTAAAAATTTCCCTTCTGCAACCCACCACCTAGCAATGACAGAATAAAACCTATTTTTCTTCTTTCAGACAGAATGATTTCACACCTATGATGTAGGCTTGCTCTCTCAGAGGGGTTAAGAATAATTCATCAGCAGAGCACTTAGCCTCACTGCCCTAAAAATAAAAGGGGAAAGACTTTGACTTAAATTCTGGCTCTTCACAATGCATTATTATTACCTCAGAGCCCACACATTACACTTATTATTAATTCATTATTACTTTTTATAGTTTCCAGGGGTAGTAAAAGGATTATTTTCCTAGTCATGGGCTTTTAAACTTCTTGGGCCTGAGTTACAAATGAGTTATTGAGATTTAAAGTTGTTGAGTGTGTGTAGTTTCTATTATCTTTTATAAGATTTCTGGAAAGGAACAGCATTACTAAGACTTAATTTTATTTTTCAGAAAAAAACCCAACCTAATTTAAATAGTAATAAACATGTTCTCCTTGCTAATAATGGTAGGAAAATTATAAGTTCAAGTACTTGCTGAGACCGAGTAATTCTAGAAAACTGATGTTCCATATTTGACAAGCACACATGATGCGCCTTTAAGAGAGAATTCACATTTTGGAGAGTTAATTTGGAGTTTAAGTGAGAACACTAGATAGCATGTGGAAAGTAAGAGAAAGAGGAGAGAAATGTGAGAAAATTTGTGGAAGACAGGTAACAGCTTTTAAGTTAAAGAACATCTTTCTATTCCTTTCCCCCATCTTCTTAGGAAAAAGGTGGGTTTTTTTCCTCTGTGTGAAACATATGACCCAGTCTAGAGATTAAGTAAAGGTGTGGTTAACATGAGCATTAGATTGTTTAGGCCAATGTGATAACTGGTCTGCTCTAATAAAGCCACATGATTATTTTCACAAAAGTTTTGCAAACTCTGATTTATAATCTTGTTTTGTATGGTAGGAAAAGAAAAGTACAAAATGAAACCCCTAGGAACAACAATTACCTCCAAACATGAATCTTCCAAGCACAGGAAGCAGAAAGCCTGCTTTGGAACTGCTTCAAACTTAGTTAATTTCAGAAAAGAGATTTAAACTTGTATTATTTTATCCATTCATAGTGTTCATTTTCCATGTGCTCTTCTTATTTACTAAAAAATTTTCAGTACTGAGATTTATGCCTTTGGGCTGTGATGGGCAAAAAAATTGGAAGTACCTGTCTGGTCACTGACAGCCACGGAAGTAGAAACAGGAAGGAGGAAGACTGCCATACAAAGCCAAACTATGCAGGATCCAATGTACTTCATCTCCCCCTGGACACATGTGAACAAACAGCTACAAATCTAGAACAAAAAACAAACATATTCAGAACAATCTCATTCTTCTTACCTCACTTTGTCAGAAAACTACACTCAAGAGCTTCTTAACTGTGAAGAGGAAGTTGCTAGTCACATACAAGTATACAATTTATCTGTTTGAGCTACATGAAAGATTTATGCCAGTTTGGAAATAAATGATAATTATACTCCTTTTTAGTTTGTTATTAATAAACTCAGAAGTAACACCTTAGAAATATTATCTTGGAGATATTAATTGTAAAGGCACTGAATGTTCATTTCATTAGTGATTACTAATTTTCTTTTATATTTCTCCCCAAATTATTTTTCAATATATTAGCTACACTGTGGTGTCACAACATTCACAGTGACTGCTGAAGTAGTCCTCAAATGGAACAACGGCAACACGCAATTGTCCGAGTTTAACCACAGAAGAAACCAAAATGCGGTATTTCGCCACCTTGCAAAGTGCCTAGAGCAGCATATATTGAATTTCCAGTTTAAATCTCACAAAAGTACAGGCTTCAACAACACAAACTGGTACTGTCATTAGAGGACAAAAGCTTCCTCCTAAGCCAACTACGACGTATAAATACACATGANGTCAGGATAGACTCAAAGCAAAGCCATGGCTGCTTTAACATTACCTGCTATCTCACAGGATTAAACAAAGGAGCTAATAAAGTACTGGCAGTGGTTACTCCTTGCCTCACTAATGAATAAAGAGAGTAGACCTAGCTACTAGTGGATTTCTAACTGCAAAGTGGATGCTCATATTATCAAGTGACAAAGTAACACCTGAGTGTTGCTAAAATATTCCTTTCTTAGTGACACTGAGAGCAACAAGAGCTTCATGTAAAACATAAATTTTATATAAAATATCCGTGATCCAAGTGCAAACTTTTGATATCAACTATTTGCATTCTTTGCCCATTAATACCAGCTAAAGAGTTGATAGCTTCAGAGTCCTCTTGTATAACAGCATAGAATGCAATTGTTGTTGGATGAAATAACTTTCACTTACCTTTGATCCTGGATTTCCAATAAGACCAGGTGGTCCAGGATCTCCCATTTCACCCTAATGATTTTGTTTGAGAAAACAAAAAAAAATCCAAGTTTACTGCTATGTCTCCCAGTATCAGCTATGTATACTGGCAACACATATAGTATGTACATGTCCAAAAATACCTTATTTCCTTTCGATCCCTCCATTCCAGTCTCTCCCTAAAAACAGTAAATGCAACCATAAGAAGTTAGAAATTTAAGTAGGATCAATTAAGAGTTTAATTTTCTACCTTAAAATATTGTAATACATTTTGCAAACTTAAATATTGGGAAAATATTAAATATTTCTGATGCCTTTTGCAAACTCTGAAAGGCATTCCTCTTGCAACCTAATTTTTTTGCATGTTTCCCCAGTGTTTTAAAGGAAAAATGTTTGAAAACACTACATTTCCTTAAGAGCACTTCCAGTCAAAAGCCTGTTCTTCACCACTACATCTTTTCTGGTACCCAGTATTTACCTCCAAACCTACTCATTATTACAGTAGGACTTATTCTGATTATTATAATATGTTAACCACAAATATCTCAGCAACCTTGAGTTTTACATTAAAAAAAAATAACTAGATGTTGTCAAAATCATGAGAGAGGACAATAATTAATTACAAATTCGTAACATAGGACTCAAAGTAAGAAAAAAGTAATGCCAACATAAAATGGCAGAATGAGAACAGCCTGATGTTAAATGCCACACTGGTGGCATCAAGACAGTACAGTTCAGGCTACATAAAACTTTGTGAAAAATCTGAAGGAAGGAACCTTCAGGAAATAAGAAAAGTATGTGCTCTAAACTCATTTAATGGACAGTACCAGCAACAGAAATGCTGAAAAAACAGGGCACCTCTGTTTTTTTATTTATAACTTGGGAGACCTTGATGCGCATGTAAGACGGAGACAATACATATTCTATCCCACATAATCCCTGCATCTAATGAATGTCTACAAAGAAAAGAATTCCAGAATGAATATGGTATGAAAGTAATCTCAAATGTACATTATTCACAGCAGTCCAAAACATGCTATGCTTACTGGGTCTCCCTTGTCCCCTTTTTCAGAAGGCTCTCCCTAAGGAAAAGTAGAAAAGAGGTTAACAGATATATTTCAAATGGTAAATAGCATATATATCTGGTTTTGCTGAAGAGTCTTGGAAAATGTGTTTGTTTTAAACCTGTCTAAAATACAAATATATGGACTACAAAAGTTTACTTGAGGGATGATGGTTATTTAATGCCAAGACCATGACATCTATGATCTTTTCAAGCAGGAGCACGAGGGAGGGTCAGGAACATGAACTAAAGAGAGTGATCATGCATCCAAATCTAAAAAATTCTCAAACACAGGTGCTTTCTAACACAAAAAATCATAAATCTGTGGTATCAAGGGAGTAAATTAATATTTCTGCCTGCACAAAAACTATATAGATATGACCAAAGAAACCAAGAAGCCTCACAGCTAAATGGCAAAACACCTATTAATCAGTAGAATTATGTACAGCACACATTCCTAGAAAAGCAAAATACACGGCTGTTCCCAAGTAATACCTCCTGAATCATACTGTAAAATTTATGCTTAAACAAAAACATACTAAATCAGAATGTTGATTTGTAAATTTTAATAATTTAAAGCTTCTTGTTTTTTCATATAGATATTGAAGATTACATTCATAACTTGGAAAAGTATGGCTGACACTTAATTCATGAGGCAACCTCTGGTCATAAACTTATATAAAAATAATTTTAAGCTGGTATTAAGTAGAAGTCTGAATGTTTTTAAAGCCGAGGACTTTGTGAGCTGGTAGAACAGGGAAATTTATTTGCATATGTAAATACCCTTCCAAGGAGGATCTTGATTAAAATACTAAGGATATTTAGAGACTGACAACTTTTCCCATGCCAAAATATTTTTTCTTGATCTCCTGTATATTTTACAAGATTTAATTTATAATCAGTACATTGAGTGAACTTCTAGTAAACACATAAGCACAGAAGTAAGGAATTAACTCACCTTTTCTCCTTTTGCACCAGTCATTCCCAATTCTCCTTTCTGACCCTTTTAACAAAATTATTTATATTTAAAATCATTATATTCTGTCAAATGTGAATAACCTCTTCCTCTTATCTAACTGTACTTTGTTCTGTATGGGCCACAAAATCTTAACTATTGTTACAATGGAAATCAAGCTTGAACGTATGCAAATGAATTTAAATGATTGTTTTCTACAGTAGATCTGCAGGCTTCTCAATAAAATGTAAATTCTGTCACATATCCAGAGCACTTGTCTAATCTCTTACAAGTTTGAAAGGCATGCAATTGTTAAAATATCAGTGAGCTCTTTATACAGGACCGATAACTATAAACAATACAGTGCCATATGGTGTGGATTCAGAATTTGATTTCCATGTAATTTTTAGAGGCTGTCTATGTGAATTTTATACACATAGGTATAGAAAACCTCATTGTTACAGACAAACTGCTTTAAATATTCATTATTTACTATCCAAAATATTTTCTGAACTTCAATTCTTTCAGAATCTTTCCCACATAACTGGCAGAGCAGGTCATTTTACTTCTCAGATAGCATTATAGAAATCATACATAATTCTTTCAGCATTTCTCCTTTCTATTTATACTAGAGGAGAGAGGATCACATGCTTCCACTGCAGGATAGCATGATGAGCTGGATATTGGACTACTCAGATCAAAGTGCCAGTCATTTCAAAAATCTATTCCTTCAAAGCCCATTGGGATAAATCAAATAAAATGCACTGTGTTAAGGGTGGCAGGAACAGGCTGGATAGGCACTTTGAAACTTCTTTGAATTCATCCCAAATGCTTACAATGTCTCCCTTCTGGCCTTTAAATCCAGGGGTCCCAAGTACTCCCAGTAGTCTTGTATCACTCTGGAAAGAAATATCACCAAAAAAGATCAGAAAACATCACTAATAGCTTCCAGTAATAATTTATTTACAGTAACAATTTATTGCAATTTACCAGTTGTAAATTCAGAAGTCCTAATTTACTACTAGAAAAGGAATAATAATAGAAGCCTATGCAGTACAACTGGTAGTGTATTGCAGAACACATCCTTTACCATGCATTCACACTCCTGCCACGCTAGCAAAAAATGAACAAAAGCATAAAAGGGAAATGTCTATGTTGACTATTGCCATGTAAATATATGATTTTTTGAAGTTCAACGCAAAGAACATATTTTTTATGCTCACTTGTACATTTCTCAAATATGTAAGAAAAGAAAAAAAACCAACTCACTTCTATGAAAAAGAACAAGCTTTTTACTTTTGAGCACCATGAAATGCAAAAAATAGTAGAACTAATTTAAGTCTATTACAGCTGTAAGACAAAGGAAAGGGAACAGGCTCCTCACATTGCTTCTTAAAGACTGACTCAAGGGCTAGAGGTTTGGGTTGTATACTTGCTCAGCTGTTATTGCACTGCATTTATTTACTCTTCTGTACAAGCTAAAGACAAAATAAAATATAAAGTAAATGGTTTCCTTTTCATAAAGTCAGACTTCCTAAGGGAAACATGATTTTTTTTGCAATGACAATGGAAAAAAACCAAAACCCCAATAACTCTGAAAAATGAGATCCAGTAAAGACTGAGGAAATCCCAATCCTAGAACACACGGCACTGGGGTGAGCAGGAATCCTAAGTAAACCAGCTTTCCGCTTTCCTTGCCATGTTCCAGGATCCATAGCTCTAACATGGGAAAACATCACAATGAATAAATGTGCCATTTATACAATGTTAATATTTTCAGAAAATGGTAACTGAATATAAATTGAAAAAAAACCAATAATTATTTTAGAAATCCCGATTCCCTGATGGATTCTTCTTGATGTTAAGGGTTTGTAACACTGTTAGGATCCTAATTATCAAAATCAGCTTCAGAGCAAGAGGCACATACCCAGATACCTGAGTACTGATGAGAAGTAGTTGGCTACCGCTGGACTGAGAATCCAGGTGTCTGTTACCATGAGTACACTATAAATTATGATTTATACTGAGTTGTACTTTTGGGTTTTTTTGCAAATATGGAGCAAAAAAAAAAGAAAAAAAGGGACAAGGCTACTAGGCCAAATAACTGTATTTTTATAGGTAATTTTCTCTTTACAACCAAATGTAAGTAAAATACATTTCAATTTCTTTGTGTTTTGGTTTATTTTATGTGTTGAAGACCATTTTTGATTAAACTGATCTATATGCCCTTTCCAAAGATATTTAGAAGCAAGTTCAGCTAAATGACCTCATACCTACATATGGAAAACTGGTAAGTAAGAAGGGTGGCAGAGCCCTTGAAAGCCCAAGTAATGGATCACAGAGGCTGGAGTGTATATAAATGCAAATCTTGAAGCATTATTTATCCATCTCTGAAGAAATGTAACATACAGTACAGGGCAGAACTAGTTTTGTGGCTAAAAGAAGAGAACAAAATGCAAAGAATTTGCACTGAACACAGGCAAAGAATCTGATTTATGCTGAAAACACAAAAGACAGGAATATAGAAATAGTCACATGTAAAAACAGGCACACAGGAAGAATGAAGGAAGTGCTGCTCCATCACAGTCTCCCACCTCATTGAGGATCAATGCTGCTACTTAAACTCGGCAGGTTCCTCTCACCTTCATTAAAGAGAGACTGCAGATCTTGGTTTACTGTTCAGCACAATTTGCTGCTGCAATCAGCAATTGTATTTATAGTGCTCTTTCACTGTATACATGGATCAAGTAAATTATGCTTTTAAAGGCTTGCACTCCAGCCTCCATAAAAATCATTCTGATAAAGTGATTGATGCTGACCCAGAAAAACTCTGGTTGCAATAAATTATTTAAATACATTGTGAAATTACCAATACTTATTACAGCAATCAGAAAAATTGAAAATAATCTGTTAAGAAACAGAGAAGTTAGAGAAACAGAAAAAACACTTAATTTTGATGGGTCTTAAGAGCCGCCCAATTTTTTGGTGTCAGTTTCTCATGGTTCCTAGAAATACCAATGCAAACAAGCCACACTAATAACCTCAGGTGATAATTGGTGTGAAAATACCTATAACTACTAAAATATTGTCAATTCCTAAACACTTTAAACACCAAACTGAAATAAGACCTTGTGACATCCTTGAGAAAATGGATAAAAGAATGAAAAATGACACCACTATTCCCTGTGCTGTAAAGAACCTCAAAACCCTCAAAGTACCACTCAAATTTTATTTTACCAATAAAAATAACTGAGGCAAACTGCAAATTTTCAATACTGGAATGTGAAAGACTGCTCAATGTCTCCAAGGTGCTGTGGACAAAATCAGCTTCTGTCATACTATGTAACAGCATGGAAAAAAAGAGAAATTACTGCTACCTACATCTGCCTAAGTGAATAAAGGGCAAAGAAGAGAAGCTGTTCTTTTCTTTGAAGACCCCTTTGTTTTGTCCTTGAATGGGAATATCCCATTCCCATCATAAAATATATAGGAATTAATATGTTTGTTGTTGGAGATTTAAGTTGACTCTAGGAGGGTCTGAATATTTATTTAAAGTTTGCATGCATAGAACCTTCTATTTGAATCAGAAAGCCATCTCCTCTTTCATCTGGAATCAAACAGCATTTCCTTGTTGAACAGTTAATTGCTTATGATAGAGTCATTAAAATCTTCAGACCAGACAGCTGAAGGAAGAAGAAAGGTGGTAAGCTATCCAGGATTTAAAAGATAATTAATTTATAGACACATACCAGCTGGTCTACATTTTTTTCCCAGAATACTGTTAATTAGAAAATATAAGCCACCTTAAGAATTCTTAGAGTCTTATAAGAAACATGATTTTTGGACACAGATGTGCATAATTTCCTGGAGATTGCCACTGTTTGTGTTTCCTCTTCCAGAATTAACCTTAAAAGGACTATCAGGATAAAAGAGATTGGTAAGGCAGAGGTGGGGAATGAGTTACAATAAATATGGTATCAATAGAGGAAAAAGTGCTGGCATCAGTGAAAGCCCTTTGGCAGGAAAAAGAAGCTGGTAAGGAAACCAAACATGAGTGTCACTCTATTGGGAACGGTAAGAAGAATGACACAGATTCTCTTGGGAGTCGAATGGGAGAATTTCTCCCAGTTTATTACCTCAGATCTTTTTTATAGACTGATACATGAAAGTACAGAAAAGTAAAACTCTTATTGGTTAGTAAATTAACACATCACCATCATTGGTCAGTGGGGCTCACCACCCCTCAACCTTCTCCTGCAAGAAAACAAGGAACAGACAAAAAGCACCTGCAAGGCTGTTTTCTGTCTCTGAGGATTGTTTTAATTCCTCCCCATGATTTCCCAGGCCACTTTCTCAGGCGAGACTGAGAAAGATATGTGGCCTGCTATTCCACAGGCACTGTGCTCTCTGTTTCATAGTTAGCATCCATACATGAGAACCAAAATATATAAAACTTCAACACATATATATATGAAACTGGAGACCAAATAGAGAAACTAAGTCTCTAGGCATAAAAATTCTCTATGCTTAATTCCTAATACATGCTTCTAAGGTGATATACTGATTTGGAATGGGTTAAATATCAGAATTAATATCAGTGAAATCACTTCGGTGACAAAAGCAGATGGAAAGGTATGTTGGACATGAATTTAATTCCAGAATGCCTCTTCAAGGAAAGCTTTTAGCACTCATCTGGGAATATTATATATGAAAAATACCCTGAATGCACATCCTCCTTATAGTTCATGCATTCTAATACTAAGAGAAATTAATTCCCTCCAGGCTTGACCTGCGTGATGTAACTTGTGATACACACATTAACCACTGTACTGGGGAAATGATGCTGTAATAGTGCATCATGAATCTTGGAATGAAATAGTTTTCTGACCACAGAGGTTACATTCTCCCAAATCAATTAAGCAAACTTCTCTATTCTGATACAGTGGCAGACAGTACCACAGTTTAAATTACTTGAAATACCTGCAGCAAGAATGTAAAAGCTCTGTCAAGTTGAATACAGTCCTATGCAATTTTATTTTTTTTTTTTAAGTTCTTTTAGCTGCAGGTGGTTTTATAATTGACACAGTATTTTTATTAGCCCATAATACAAACCTAAGGACAATTCTCATGGACTGCTGGCTGATCTTTTCAAGATTATGCCTCCTTGTCTTTCTATTTTACTGTTAGGATCATAACAGACTAGGTCAAGAGAGAAATGTCAACTACCCTTTAAAGCAATTAGGTTTAGAAATGGGGAGTTGGTGCTTCACACTAACAGCTAGGTGGTCCATACATCTTCTTTTTGAGTTTTGCCAGTCAAAAACAAGTAAGTAGAAGATGGATGGGAGGCAAGACACATGGCAGCAAGATAGATGACACAGCAAGTATGTGACTGGAGTGTGGACTGAAACTTGGAAGGGAATGCAGAAAGGGGGCAGGAAAGAAATTACCTTTTGAATTAATTTGGAATGTGGTTCACAGGGATCAAAACTGTAGTCATTTCTACCTTAAATACTGCTTAGTCATAAAGCCACAGAGACACCAAATCAAATCTCCATACCTCATTATAATGCTTGTTCAATGAATCCAGTATTCCTTTTAGTCCGGAAGGACCCTATATGGAAAAAAAAATATCAGAAGGTCATTTTAATTTAACTAATTTTATGTTTGCATATCTGTATTTAAAGAGCAATGGGGATGGAAAAGATTTTTGGTTTTTATTTTAGCGCACAGTAATTTATCTTCTGTAACTTCATTATTTCTTTTTTGCTGGCTCAGAGAAAGAAGAAAGTCAGTTTTTAAATCTCGGAATTTTGAAAACCAGCAAATTATTTTCAAGTGAATTTGCCAGTCAGAGAAGGCAGAAATGAAATCCATATCAATTTTAATACATGTCCCTTCTGATATGAACAACATTCTTGTTCTTCAGCATTTTAAAACTCTTTCCACTAACTCAAAGTACAAGTTTTGATGCAGAAGAAGCTCGTAGTGTGAGTAAACAGATAGGTTTTTAACCTGGGAGTACAGGAAATGAAACTGAGAAAAGACAGAATTCTCCAGAATATTAACTGCCTAGTTTTACTAGCATTGCAAGTTTTTACTTAAACACACATACTTCATCAAGAAATTCAAGACCAAAAAAGGAACTTCTTGATCAAACAAACATTTAGGACAGAAACACTGAAAAATGTGCTTGGGAAAAAACATTTTTGGACATTAAATCCCCCTATTTTTAGGCATATTCTGCCAAAAATCATGCCCTCAATGAGATTTTTAATTTTGGTAGATGGAGCAGAACTCAGAAAATACAGTCAAGAAATGATGAACTATGACCCATTTAAATTTACAAATTAGTGTAGTTACTCTGAGTTGAAGCTCTCACATAATATAATATAAACAACAACCACTAAAGGTGGCTTTAAGAAACGTTTGACTGTATCAATACGATTACAATATATTCAAGTAAATCTCTTAGCCTGATTGACCTGGATATAACACAGACAAGGGCACAAGAGCAACTCTCCTCTGTGCCTTTTTATAATTACAATTTACCCTCTGCAGCTTTTCTCTTAATGTGGATACTAGGAAAATTTGGAAGCCACATGAAACATCTCAGGTATTTCACTCCCTCTCTTCCTACACTGGAAGAGACAAAAGTACATTGATGCTATTTCAAAGTGAATTCTCACTTCAAATTTATGTTAAAAATAAGATCAATATAGTCATGATGTTTTCACTAAGATCTCACTCCACTCTGATTTCTGAAGTTAATGGCAGAATTTTTACTCTGATATCAGCGATAAAGCTGGCAATCCAGAACTGGGACTGAAGTATGATGACACTGCCTAGACATCTCAATGTCAACAACGTAAACCTGCTGTCTTGAATCCTTGAATCCAGAATTCCTGGAGAATTCTGAAAACTTGCAAGGAGCCAATAATAAGAGCTTACTCTCCCTCTGCATTTGATGTCATGTACCACACTTCTTTTACTGTTTTTCCACAATTGAAACTGCTGCAGCAACACCACCCAGGAAGAACTTAATGCTGTATCTGCCATCAACCCCAAACCCTCAGATATTATTTGTACATAAATAAATAATTTTTGACAGGATGAAAAGTACATTGGCACAGTTTTGAAAAACAAACATATCCTTAAGAATCCCTGGAATGTCTCATGACTAAGACAGTCAAGGAGAACTTTAGGAATTTGGGTTGAATTCTTGGCTACACTACAGCCTTTGCACTACCAGTTTAGTGTTTCCATTTTCCAAAAATTGACATAAATTAAATAATTTTATATTTCCATAATTTTTTTCTATAATAAAAACTAGTAAATAAGTGTACAATAACAGAAAATATTTTAAGACTTTTTTGCCTAAATGATAGTCTCTTTTCTTCCACAGCTTCACTACACTAATATAGTTGCACAAGATAATCTGAAGTATCTGCAGATAAAAAAGACAAAAACAGCAGCATGGGTTTGAAAGAGGAGAAGCAATGAAATTAACAACAGTTGAAGAATTATTGTACCAGCAGTTTCTAGCTTTTGAATGGGAATTTTGAACATCTGCCACTTTGAACCTTACTTGAGCAGGGTTTCCTTTTTTTTCTAATATCAAATTGTGTAATTGAGAGAAGTGAAGCACACAGAGAGTAGAATTCTATGAATAAGAAAAGAACTGAAAACGTGTCCTGATTGTTTCCCAAAATGGCAAACAGGTTTCAGATGTTATTTCTACAGACAAGGCAGGAATAGAAACGCAGGTGCTTAAAGGGAAATAGCTCCAAACTGTGAAATTACTCAGGTTTACAATGTATTTTCCTCCCTTAACTTTTATAGTTCATCTGCATTTCTGTAAGATGAAACTGTTGAAAAAGTCTACCCAATCTCACAGTCCACACATAAAATGGGTAACAAGTAAATTGCACTGGTTGCACCTCAAATATAGGCAATTTTAGAGAACACAGCCTGCAAGTGACTCAATACAGTTAATTTGTCCCTGTATTTCACTTTGGGACCTGCCAATTAAAACAAGACACTGCTTTTCTGTTTATTTTAATGCACATCATGAAACTCACCAGGGCAGATGTGCAATATTGTATAACTATCCCAAAGAGCAAATGGAAAGAATGATGAAAACGTGATGTCTGCCACAGTAGGACACAAGAAATAAATTACATTTTGATATGGATAAAAAAACTTAATGCATAGAAACAAGCAATATGACCAACCTTTGCCAGCCATTCCCACACTATACTGTAAGTATTTCCAATATTCTTCTAAGAAGCAGCTGGAAGTCAAGGAAAACTAGAAATGCTACTGACAATTTTCACTTATCATTGCTTTGATTTTTTCTTTATTGTAATTAAGCGATAACATTCACTCACTTCCAAAATATTGCTAGAGGAATGACAGTATTTCCTGAGGCAGAGGAAATGAAATTTCCAAGGTGAAGTGCTGGCTACTTAAGATAACTAGTTTGGGGGCACTGACATATGTATTGAATCACAAGAGCAAAAGTGTATGTAATTAAATGAAGAAGTTCAAGTGAACTCCTCTATTGCATCACATGAAATGCAGACAAAAATGAAACCCGATTTTAATTTAAAACTTTAGGGAGTGACAAAAAGCTCATCTTCCAAGCAAAAATACTTGAGAAGATAAAAAAGATGAAGTTCAGCCTCTTGCAAAGGTAAATGATAAACTGAAGGATGACCTTCAAAAGCCATAGCAATTGTGAAATTAATCAATTACATCTAATGGTTGAAAACAACAGCTTAGCTGTGGATGTATCAGTTTAAGAGAATGAAAAATTGTGATTGCAGTTTAGTAGCCTGTGATTTAGCACACCCTAATTTTCTTTCCCACCTCTGCCACAGGTAGTTTAGACAAGACTGAGTTTGGCCAGAACAGGCAGTCCTCATGTCTCTTACCTTTACAAACCACCAGTGCTGATAACATTTCACTTCTACTAAAGAACAACTGGGCAAAAGTCAGACTCACCTCAAAGATTTTTTAATATTTTTTTTGTTATATTGGTGTAAATCTGTATGTAGCACAACTCTGGTTTAGCACTGTCGATTTTAAAAACAAGCTAAATCACTAAAATGGGAGCTACTGAGAAATGGAATTCCTCCAGTCATAACAGTTCCAGTAGAGACAGAGAAAATTAGGTCAGGAAAGATAAAGTTAACCCTCAATGGAGAAATAAGTAAAACTTTTTTTTTTTGTTCTCTAGCCCATCTATGTAAATAGGTATACCTGCTGATTAATTTCAAGGTAAAAATAAATAAATAATAAATAAACCCCCAACCTCCACAATCCTTAGGTCAAGGATACCAAGGTCAGATACATTTCATACAGTGTGTGTGACAGCATGGCAAAATAGACTGCCCAGAGAGGTGGTAGAGTCTTCTTTGCTGGAAGAATGATGTTGGAAGATGACTCAAGAATAATCTGGTCACAATCCTGTGCTTTCAGATGTCCCTGCTTGAGCAGGAAGGTTGTATCAGATGACCCACAGAGATCCCTTCCAGTTTTACTCATTCTGTGATCTTTTGATTTGCTTTTAAAATAAAAAGGTGTGGAATCTCGAAAGTCAATGCATTATACATAATGCAAAACAAGCTGTGGTCTGCTGGGGACCCCGTCTGTATTGCTGAATCCTACAGACTTTTAGTTAGCAGAAATGGCAGAAGAAAGCAATCAGCTCAGTTCTGCAGTCTGATCAAAATGCTGTTCTTACAACCTCATAGCATCCTATTATCATAGTAATTCTTATTGTTTCATAAAATCAGCATTTCAATTTCAGTGAAAAGCCATGCTGAGCAGGGTTGCAGCATTTGAGAGCGGTCTCTCAGAAGACTTTAGAAGAAAATGGAAGTAGGGAAATACATAAAATACATTTGAAGGGTACAGAGATATTGATTTTACAATCACAATTTTCAGAATGCTTGTGAGAGCAAAGTGAATAGTGTGTTTAACAGAAGCTTTTCACCGCTATCCAGGTGCTTTAGAAGTGGAGAAAGGGTCAAAAAAGCACTAGAGGGAGCTGCTGCTCTACTTGGATTCTGTATTCAGCACAAATTGCTACTGCCCGCTGGATTGAGACAGGTGCGAACACACATCTCGGCTCTCCTGCACTGAAATAACAGAACAGTACTCAAAAACAACATCAGACAGCAAGGATGCATACCACGAATTCTGAACCAGAAGGGAATCAAAGAACACTTTAAGAGTCTATAATGTGTAATAGGCTTTAAACAAATAATCAAAGGAGGAATGTGTTCCATAGGTTTACAAAAATAGCTGATCAATAAAAATCCTCATTGTCTCCTTGCCTTTTGTGAGCACAGGATTTGCTTCAAAGAGAAAAAAATAATATAAAAGAAAGAATAAGGAAAAAATGACACAAAATAAAGGATATCTGGAAGAAATTTCATAGAAAATCCCACTTTAACTTGCTTGTTTCACTTTAACTGAGTAGCTTCATTACCAGATGCCAATCAATCTATGTCTCTGACAGTGATACAGGTTTTTAACCAAAGCTATGCAGATGATGTTAAGGGACTAGAAACTCACACCAAGCATTAATTTTACTGAAAAAAAATCCCCAGAAATTATGTTAGGAAAAAAAAGAAAAAAGATGAGATATTGAGAGAAGGTTAGAAAAATTTTAAACGCTGCCACACGACAAGTAGATTTTTGACTGCTAGCAGGTGCTTTTACATTCCTGTCACATGAAAGCACAGCATGTATGCTGACTGAAATTTTTGTAACTTTCCAGTTTTCTTTGATTTTACCCCAGTCTTTTCCCTACAAATCCCTATGTGCACACATTGTTATTAGGACTGCCCTTTATAATAAATGCCCTTAGTATTGTATTTCCTTCTCACAGTCCTTGTGTTTTCTTTTTGTTTTCTTTATTGTCAGTACTGAGCACTTGACTGTTCTAATTTCTAAATTAAATACATCATGGCATAAACTGATAAATAAATTAGGTAAATTCATTAATTTCAAACACAGACTGTGCTATTATTACTATGTCCCCTGCCTCTGTGCTACCACTGTCCATCCCGCAGTGGCCAGGGAGGCAGGGGAGGTAGATTAGCTTCCAAAGGAGATGCTAAAAATGAGGCTCTTTCCCTTTGCTGAGATGGCAGTCACAGCTTTATTTCTTGGGATGTTTTGGGGTGAAGTTGCAGGAGGGAAAGAGGAAGAGGTATTGATAAGCACTCCTTTTTCAGGACAGGGGAAGGAGGTTAAACAACCAATAAGGGGAACTGGGGAGAACTATATAATAAGGGAATTATCAATAAGGGAAAGAACTTACAAGTCTACATTTTTGGGGGTACATTTTTTGGATCATACCATTTTTCCTAACTGCATTACAACAAGACTGCATGCTGTAGCTACCCTAACAATAAATGACTGAATCTCCTTTTTCTCAAAAACAAATTTCATTCTTTTTTTAAACATCAGCCAAACCCCAAACGTTTTTATACTGGAGAATCTAATGTTTACATATTCAGTCAATCTTTTAACCACTTTGTACCCAGTGTATGTCAAACTTAGGGAGCAACCAATCTGCAGGTAACTGAGAAGGGTAACTGGAAGCACAACAAAACTGAATATGGTTTGAGCCTTGAAAAAGAGAGGGAGAATGATGGATCCTGCTAAGATTTTTTTTTTGGTGCATACAAGCTGTGGCACTTGAAATATGGGGATCCTGCCAATGCATGTTAGCAGGCATTACTGCTTTTAGAGTATGCCTTTCCTCTGTGTTCTGTTCTGGCTTGGAGGAGGAACACAAGATGGTGGTATAGCTGTATCCAAAGAGAGAAGTGCATCAGGAGAGTTATTATAGCAGAAACAAATACTTTAAACCAATATTTAAGCCATGGCTGTTTAAGGAATGCTTTTCTGTATGTAGTACTAGGCTACAGAACCCAATACAGAGTTCCTTGCAGTGATGTTGCCATGCTGACAAAGTTGATCTTTCCACTTGCTGTAAGAAAATCTGAGATACGTGTCAGTAATAGAAGCACAATTTAGCTTCCACTCAAGATTTCTGGTATATCTGTCAAGGATCATACATCTTCACAAGCCTGACCTGCCAGCAAATCTAGGATGGCAGAAATCTGTAACACAGAAACAGCTTTTCACTAGCTCACAAAAAGCTAAGTAGATTAGGTCTAACATTGACCTCTGCTATGGTTTGCTTTTTTATCCTTTAAAGGTTATATTTGGCACTTGTATTAGAAAGATTATGGATCACTCCTTTCCTGTTTGCTCTCCTGCAATCTGCAATACCATTTTAGCATTAGGACTGTGCAAACGACTCAAACAAGCAAGGCTTCAATATGACTGTGCAGGGGAAAAGAGTGAAAGGGAGGGACTTTTTGGTTTTATGCAGGATAAATGAATTCAATCATAAATGCCTCTTTCTGAACACATTTTTCAGGAAAAAATTATTTATGAAATCTATGCAGTTTTTGGTTTCGATGAGGGTAGATGACATCTGTTTAATTTTATTAATTGTATCCCATGCAGCAGTGCATTATTCTCTTCTCTACATATAAGACCAAGTTGAAGCATATGAATCAAATATTCAGATGCATAAAACACTAGCCTTTATCAATAGCCAGGTAAACAAAAGAAGGGATTATATTTTTTTTTTGTTTTATATTAGGAATGTAAAGTAGCAGATGTTTACTTACTCCACAAATAGCTGTTTTGTATTTGCACATAATTGCATTTTTACAACACAATATACAGAGAGTTTTACAAATATGACTGAGTCTTCCTCTACCAAAAAAAGGCTGCTTTCATTGAAGACTAATATACATTCATGCCTGACTTCAATTTTAAATCCTTTATATTTTAAAAAAAATAGAGAAGGAAAAAAAAATCCCAGACCTCTTAGATCTGAGCTAAACCCTTTAGTTCTTCATATTACAAATCCTTTCATAAAGTCATGTATTTCTTAATCTTTTTAATTCTTCAGTCAACTCATCTGAACTACAGCTGAGTGCTCATTCCAGTGCTGGGTATAATCCTCCCCATCATTCAGACAGTTGGCACATGCTTCACACAGTCCTTCATCTTTCAAATTACCCCTCTGAGACAGAAATTATCCCTTCTTCTACAGAGCATCACGCATTTTGCTAAAGGAATTAAAGCACAGTATTCACAGCTAGCATACATGACCAGTCTTTCTTTGAAATGTCAATTTCTGCTTCCTCTGCTGAAGTTTCCATTTTGTTCTTTCCCTCCTGTGTAGTCCCTCCTACTTGTGGATCCAGTCCTTTAATTTTTGCTGCAACAAAAGGCTACCAGTAGTAGATGTTTGATACAGCAGATACACAGATCAATTATTTTCAACTATGATCCAGTAACCTGCTAAAAAAGAGTTAATAATGTCTGAGGACAGAGTGAAAATTTCCCATTCCCCTAGTTAGCTACTCACAGGAGGTCCTGGTGGCCCCGGTTTTCCTGGGAGGCCTGGTTTGCCCCGTCTCCCCTGGAAAAAAAATTACAATAGACATTTATAGGTTAAGAACTGATTTGGAATAAGAATTTTAAGAAAAGATTTATTGTCTTACATTTTAGCAAAAAAAAAAAAAAAAAATAAAAACCCATTCAAAATGAGTACTCTTTATCAGTCACTGCAATACTGAGTAGTTCTAGGATTGCTTTTCATAGTTTTAACAAACTATATTTTTATCCCCATCCCGGTAACAATGTCACATTTTAAAGCTTTGTCTCAAATATGAGTGCACCTTAAGAGGTTTATTATTATTAACAAAGTATCTTGATGAGGTGTAAAGAAATTATATTTGTATGAATACACTGGAGCTTGGGATGTTAAACTGTGCTGCAGCAGTCTGACTTGCACAGTCAGTACACATGTGCAGTATACTCCAGTTAACAAACACACATACCCTTCTTCTCTGCGATGTGATAATGAGCACAAAAGCCAAAGATTTATTTGCAAAAACAATTCACCTTCTTTGTGAAATTACTACCATCTGTGTATATATAATGCACATGCAAAATCATTTGCATTAAAATGTAAAGTCCATAAAAGTCTACTTAAGGGAGACTTTCAACTCAGTTTCTAAAAACACATGCATATGTAACTATTATAATTTTTTAGTACAGAGTTTGTACGAGCAACTGTTTTCACATATGTTTTTTCTTTTTTTAGGAAGATCAATATAAAAATTGAAGTAATTTACAGGAATTAACATCTTTATTGTCAAGCTGAAATCTGATACACATTTTTTATAAACACAGCTGATAACTAATATCTAGGTACAAAGGGCAAAGGAAAAAAATATTATATCCATTAAGAGTAAACTTTTCCCTTGCATATGGCAAATGTAAATTAATGTTAAAGCATTAAGGGGGGGGTGTCCTGTTGAAGTCTTGGCTTAAAAAGCGAAAAAATGAAAATTCTGGCTGACAGCTCACAATTAACACATAGGAATATTTCTGTAAGCTGTGCTCTCTACTTCTAAGCCTGCTTCTGTAGTTTATTAAATAACAGTGTCACATAGACTGCAGAAGTATTCTAGGAATAGAAAATGAAATCCATTTTTGCTATTTCCAGGTAAGAGCACTGATCTGTAGGAAAACGCTCTCATGCTCTGCTTTTCATTAATCTTGATCTATGCTGAGGGGAGGACAGCAAGGGTGGAAAATCTCTCTCCCTCACACCTTGCAGCTCTCCAGAGCAACCTCTTGCCTAGAAGCCAGGGACTCCTAACAGAGTATCTCAGGATGTATCAGGAGAGTATCTCTCCTTGAGGGTATCTCAAGGCCTTCAAGCTGGAGAAGAAACAGAACGGAGACTTTGTGGATGTGTTCCAGCCATTGGGTTGTGCCACACATCTTGTACACTGCCACCACGGATTCATGACTGTCCTCAGTCAGTCAGCGTGTATTAAGGGCAGCGTGAAACAAAACCACCTCAGCATATTTGGAGTGCCAAATTCCTGGGTCTTAACTAGCTGAGACATATATTATGTGCTGAGCTGTTTAATCCCACCAGTACTTGCACATGCAGGGCTCTAACTGGGCCAGCTAAGGGTAAGTTTTCAGAACCAAAATACAGGACTATGTGCCTAGACTGGGCTCAAGGCTCTAGTGGCCCCTACTGCTGCTGTGCTGGTAACACTGTCCCTGCAGCCCCAGGACCAGCTGGAGCTGGGATCTCAGCTGGGATAAGGGGGACCAGGGTTTGACTGTGGTCAGCTGATTGATGAAGTGCACTGAGCAAGCCTGACAGGGCACAGCACCAGGAAAGGCACATGTGCACAAGCAAAGGGGGCTGCAGCTAGCTACACCTATACTTTTGGACTCATCTCTACTCTGCTCTACAGGTGGAAACTGATATTTCCTGACTTTTCTTTTAAAAGAAAAAGAAACAGTAAACTTCCCTTAGAGAGTAGAAAAAAACAGACTGAGAGGTAATAATGTAATAAACAAAGATATATTGCTCCATACTTTTAAAATAGTCCCTCTGAGTTATAATGGTCTACAGTGTTGACTTCTTGAAGCACCTTCCTTTTCCTGTTTGAACTTATTTAAAGTATCCTGAGGATGACACTTAAAGTCACAGCAGTGTAAACAAAGTATCAAGGAAGTGTCAGGATGAAGAAGACAGGGCTTTGACTGGCAGACACAACTGTGAACGAGGTGTTAATTACACAGGAAAACATGGAATATGTTGGGAAGGCAATTTTATCTCTGTTTACAAGATGAACTAAAATGTGATTTATGACATAACAAAGACAAAACTTGAACTTTCTGAAAAAATAAAAAACAGCTATAAAAAAAGTATTGTCATTTGTTAATTACTAGAACACATACCCAATGAAACACGGAAGAAACATTTGTCCCACTTTTTAATCATCATTGTATTATTAGCAATTATGCAATGTTGCATGTAAAACAACCACACAGATCAGTATGAGGCATAAGCTTTTTATAGAGTAATAAAAGTTCTTTTTTTGCCTCCGAGCACCTTCATAAACTGTTTGGTATTTTAAATTTAGTACAGAAATGTATGAAAGGCCACTACCTTTCAGCAATGCCTTTCAAATACAGAGAATGTATTTGCTTTGGGTATTCCTTCAGTGTTAGGAATACCCAAAGCTCCACCTACTTGTCAGCACTCCTGCTTCTCTATGACTTGTCAGCACCAGCAGGGGAAAAAATAAAATATATACTATAGTAACAGTGTAAGAAAAAAAAAAAAAGTTCATATTTTTGTTTAGGGTAATTAAAACAATTAGAAGAATGTTTTTGACAAGCCCATTATGATGTTGCCTTGAGCAGACCATGAGCCAGATCATGACTAAATATTTACATTTTGTTTTTGAGTCATCCTTCTGGCAAGAAAGAAGTGAAAAACATCTCAGTGCCCTCTCTTATTTATAGAGTGGGCTTAGCAGAGAGCCACAGTACCGAGCTCCTGCTCAGCACTGGGTCTTGGTAGCCCCATGAGAGCCGTATTTAGTGCCACTCTGCTGTGCACTGGGCTGACAGCCCACACAGGACGCCTGTTACCTTTATTTAGCTTAGATCATGGAGCAAATATTGAGGTTATAAAACCACTCAAAATATAAATAAATGTCCTAGGCATCACATTATTCCTTTAACTAAATAAAAAATTCAATACCACCTACATTCTCTTAAAAACGATACGTGGTGTCAACAAGTTGTCTAATGCTACTTGGAATACCTGAGGAAGACCAAAACTGTTGCTGGTTATTCCCTTTAGTGCTTATATTTTTGCTGCCAATCAATGTGATCGGAAGTTTTCTAAATGTTACTGATATTTTATGCTGTCCCCTTGACTCCTGAAATGCCAGCCCTCAACTAATTTGTACAGCAGGCTACTTTCCTCTTTCCCTAAGGACAGGCTTCAGCTAGATCATTCAAATGACAAATCATTCAAATCACAACTGCTTGGTTAGGGGCAAAAAAAGTAAAAATACCAAAAATAAAGTAAATGAGAGATTATGTGCTTCAGGAAACCCAGCTGAGTGCCTAGCAGAAGTATGTGGTCAGCTGCATTCTTTATTCCTCTCTTCCTTCGTCCCTTCTGTGAATTGAAATGACTTGATGAGCTTTGCCTGACATGAGATGGAAAGCTGTTCAGAAGAGAGGCTCTGGCCATCCCTCCATAGGCTTTGTGCTCTGGTTCTGACTGCTGCCCCTGGGTGCTGCTGCAGGTCCAGCACACAGCCCAAGAATTCAAAATCTGTATTGTAACTCCCTGCTGTATCATGCCATATCCATATATTCATATCTCTCTAAAGTTTAGAGTAAGATCTCTAATCCTAGTGTTCAAAAATAAGCTGTGGATTATTTAAGGATAAAATCAAGCAGTTATGTAGGAACATTACATGATTTATGGAATTAATAATTTAAAGACTCTATGCTCGAATATGAAGGCAAAAGTTCTTAGAATAAACCCATGTGAATTTTCAAGGGAAAGTGATAATTAGTGGTTCTTGAAACACATCATCACATTTCAAAACAAGAACTAGTTCCAGAGAAAGTAAAAATCTGGGCTTTAAAGTCTTGACTATTATAGTTGTTATGCAAAATTAATGAGGTTTATGTAATTTGTTTGCCAAACTAAACTATGATTCTCTTGCTTAATCCTAAAAACCAAGTGACTTAAAAAGGCACAGATATTACCAAAACAGGAGGTGGGTGGGGAGTTAGAGACCCCTGTCTCATGGTGCCCAACCCACAGATGCCAGTCAACACCTTGGGGACCTAAACACAGCCAAACGGGTGGAGCTCTGGGCAGTTAAAAACTGTTCCTCCAGATGCCCAAAGCTGTCACCAGGCAGCCAGACAAGTTCCAGTGCCTACACTAACTCAGATTACAGCAAGAGTTGGGATATTCTCTCCCCTAAATTGAAAATCTAAGTTGCAGACAATGAAACCTCGTTAACTTCAGTAATACAGTGTTAGGATTTGAATGTGCAATCCCTTCTTCCGTCCTATTAACTTTGGCCTTGAGGACATATTATGGTAACCAGTATATTACAAATTAACCTCTGTATTATTAGATGTTAAACCTGAACAAAATCACAGAAAATAAGGCCAGAAGTCAAGAAATTAAGCCATTTGCAGAAATCAAGTGCAAGTCTGCTCATCATACCCCACTAAAACCTTTCACAGAAACACGGCTCACAGAAGAATAGAGCACACCTAATCCCCTGCTTTGGGAGAAAAGTCAGTAGGGAGCTCCTCACTAATGCAGAAGCATTCCTGCACTCAATCTTGGGTCCCCAAAATAATTTTAGGAATGACTTACAAAATCTCTAGTTTTTTCATTGTGATATTAATAAAATGCTCAAAGGGAATGCCTAGCCAGACTAGATAAAATTGAAATTAATTTAACAAACAAAAAAAGGTCCTAAAACAGGCATAGCAATGCCAAGAAATTGAATGCCATGACCTCTTTTGCCAACAAATCGCTAGACAAAATCCAAC